GATCAAATGATACCGGTGGCCCAGTTTTTTGATCGAAGCTGACTTAATGCAGACAAGTAAAGACGCTGAGTTGACACAGACACCAATAAGTACCTGCACTTCGAAATATTTTCAGTATTTTCACTCTTCAGTGTGCCCATGACATGCCACCAAGACGAAATTAGAAATAAATAACATATAACAAAGATAAAACTTGATTTGTCGTTTTTCACTCTCTGTTTTTTTTTTTTTTTGTATTTTTTTTGGGGGGGGGGGGTGGGGTGGGGGTGGTATTATTAAACCAGCAATGATTTAACCAGGAGCGTTTTCAGGCGCGGTTCTATGGGGGGGGGGGGGGGGGGGAGGGGCTGGGGGGGGGGCTGTAGCCCCCCAAAATTTTGTCTAGCCCCCCAAAATAAATTCCGTAAAAAAAAAATTGCATTAGCAAAAAGAAGGATTGTGATGTACATGCGAACAGTCTCCCCCTAAAGAAGAAATAGCCGTGACAAGGGTGCATTAGTTAATATAGTGTAAATAATTTTAGGATTTTATTGGCGCTCCCCATTGAAAATATGGCAGGATCCCCCCCCCCCCCTGCCCCCCCCCCCTCCCCCCACCTATTGATTTTCGGAGGCCTAAGTGTCAGGAAAAAATAACCGGTCTACATTTCAGCACGCCTCCCTGAAAAAATCTGGATCCACCCCCCCCCCCCCCAAATATTTGTTTTAGAACCGCGCCTGAGCGTTTTCTCTTCGAAGATGATCCCTATATGGAGTTAGTTCTGAAGCTCATCGTCAATTTGAGAAATAACCCTCTCTCCATTTGAGTGGCTTTCTGGTTTATTATATTTAAAAAATATTTATTATTTCTGGTACTGGAACCAAGGATTCCTCAAAAGTGCCCAAGGCACTGTAGCTCGAAAGCCTGAGGAAACATGCAGAGAGAATGAAATGAGAAGATAGTGACAGTTTTAGAGGTGGGAGGAAAACCCCAGAAGAATATTCTGAGGAAATTTCACGGAATCAGGTAGGGACTGAAAACCCAATCCACATGTGGACCACGGCAGGAATCGCACCTGACCCCCGAAAGTACATTTTCATCCATATTATTTTCAGAAATACAAGTTCAAAGTCCCCTTCTGGGCTTTGAATCTTACCCGCTACATACCCCGAAGTGCAGACAGAAAAACACCTCATTAAAGATATAGTCCATCATTTGTAATTTGTGCATTTTGTTCGTTTGAAGCGACAAAAGTGTTCAAAATCTAATGAAGGATACTGAACAACAAACCTGATGAAGTTTCAGCTCAGCTTCAGTTGTATATTCCGAGAAAAACAGCATTCTAGGATCTCAATTCAAATCAAAAGTTGCTGAATCATGTTTTGAATTGGGCCTGAATTCAGCGTCCGAGACACGTTCTCACTGAGCCGGTTGCAGCTATACGCGATGTCGCGCACTGATCCGACGAATTATAGCAACCGCACGCGCGTGTGCGTCATGCCGATGCTTGCGCGCGCTTCGCCGAATAACAAAACGAACTACTAATTAAAATTTTCCTACGGTGCGTCTTAAGACGCACCATTGGAAAGGCCTTCCTTTGTTGATTGCTTCAAAATGACAGCTTGCCAGAAAGAATAATTTCACAGGGAGTTTAGTCCACTTTATCTTTCAACCAAGTATGTTTTTCAACAATAATTACGCCAGTTACTTTTCGGATGGATGCAAATGATGGACTATAGCTTTAAGAAAGGACCACTGCATGGGTTACAAACCATTGTTGTTGTTTTGTTGTCGGGTGAGGTAATTTTTGGCCTATTTACCGCTCTGTTACCTTCGGCGGTGGCGCTTCACAATGACCGCGGCGCTCTCAAACTACTTACGGTGGGAATACGGAGAGTATAGGCCTATTAAGTGTGCATAGGGTCCAATATTTTGACGGAACCTCAAGGGCAAAATAGGTCAACGGTTGTTTTGTGGACGCCTGACCTCAAGTATTCAATTTTGACGTTGTTGAAAAGCAGAAACGTATTAAAACGATTGTTAAAAAAAAAGATCGGTTATTTTTTTATGGTTCTTTGAAAGGAGAAAATCAGTATCTAAATTCCTCGGAAGCCTGTGGAAAATGTACTTTTCGGATAGCTTAGAAGAGCAGAAAAATAGAAACCTCGAAGGCCTTCGATCTGCGTGGATGTCTGCTGCTCTAAGAAGAAGAAAACAAGTACCAGTGCACAATAAGCTCTGGTGAGAAATGTGACGCCGATGGCACATTATGGAGCACTATATTTTAGTCTGGTTCCCAGACCAAAAGATTCTGACTATTCCTGATGAATCTTCAGTAATACATTGTATTACAATTTACGTCACATGACTAAAACGGGAGGAATTCCTTATTTTTCCGAAAATGTCCGAAGTTTGCCGAGTTCCGTCGACAATCGGATAGCGTCCGAGTATTTCCGAGTATAATATAGGCCTAGGTTTAATTAACTGCTAATTGCTGCTAATTGCTTATTAAAAACTTTTTAAAATGAGTCGATAATTAATATTCATTGCTTTTATTAAGAAAGCTTGAAATTCAACGACGATTTTGTGCATCAAGTACACTCGGATCGTACGGGCGAACTTTTTGCTGCGTCATGAACTATTTTGAATTTAACGATCGTAACCGAGATTTTCCAAAATTCGGTCTTCATTCGGCTCCGCCTGCTAACAGTGCTATTTGGGTGCCTAATTTTGAAGATTCCAGATCAACATCAGTCAATGTTATCTTACAGAAATATCAAACTGTATTATCATAACTGTATGATATTACGAAGCAAGTGTTTTGTTTACAAATTTGATCAGAACATTAAAAGCTTTAAGTGATAAAGCGAAATCGGAAACGAAGCCGAGCTTTGAAAAAGGGCCGTCAATGTCGTCATATTTATTTTTAGCCACGGAGGCTGCCTGACCTAAACGTGAGCGTCGGGAATAATTGTCAGGTCTAGGGAACCAGACTAACTATATTTTTGGTCAATTTTCATTTACTCCTTGTGGATACCGCGTCCATGCACTACAAAAAATACCACGTGACTATACCATTACTGCACATAATCTTGCCTTCGTTTACAAAAACGTACACATTTTCATAAACAACTTTACGAATTTTTACAAATAAATTTGTTTAGAGTGCATTTACTGACGACGGCATGACATTTGCTCAATTTCCGGTTAAATCGATTTCTCTGCGCATCGATCGAGACATAATAGGGCGTTTTCCCGATAACTTTTGTTAAGGGTGTACGACGGCATGGCATTAAATTCTTGGTCAAATATGTTTGGTCAATTTTCGGGGACTTACAGACCGACCGACTGGCCGACCGAACACCAAGTGACATGTAGATGCTCCTGCCAGAGCTATAGAAACGGAAGTCCACTTTTCATCCATAATATTCACAGCGTCACGGCACTCTTTGTGGATAGCTCATCTACAAGGCGGACACTTTTTTCCTTTGCTTTTATATACAAAACAATGGTTCCCATTTGGTCCATGATATGACTGCAGGAGTGAAAGAATGGTGGTACAACGACGACAAAACAACCTTTAAAAATGCAAGGCACAATACAATGTATGCATTTTTCAAGTTCATGCATTCATTCGGATGACCTTTTAATGAACGCTATATAAACTTGAAATACTCGCAAAGTTGATGAAAATATAATGGGAGTAATCTATTATACTTTCGTGCTTAAGGCCATTATTTTTTTTATGTGGAATGGCGTTCTATTTCTCTGATCGCCACACCAACATGGAACGCAGCAAATAATCGCCCTAAGGTAGATCCTTACTCACCTTGATAAAATCACGTCCTTCTTTGTACCAGTTCCATTCGAGAAAAAAAATTACTTCCTTGCTCAGGGGAAATCCTCTATAGTTCTGTCGGTCACATTATGTCAAGAACCCATATCCTTAATTGTGCTAAGAGAGAATTACATGCCCGACCTGCCCGTCTTTTTTTCGTCACTTCGATGTGTCCCGTTAACCCATAGCCCTACAAACAGGGCTGTAAATGGCTCTCGTTTTATAGCGTTGGTCTTATTACTGATGTTATTAATAAGACCAATGTCAAAAGACAGCCATCTACAGCCCTGTTTGAAGGGCTACCGTTGACCTTGCTTTATATTATATATTTGTGTGTGTGGAACAATATGATCTTAAAGACTGTTGAACATGACTGTTGACATGCATATAATTAAACGAAAAGCAACTTCGGCAGCCCTGCTACTGTTTGAATGGTTACACACCTATGTCCCGACACACATGTTCCGACATTATGTTCCGACCGATCGTGTTCCTTACCCTATCCCTAGCCCCAAACGGGCTAACACAATATTATGTGCGGGTTGGCGGAACATAGGAGTGTCGGAACATTGGGGTATCGGGACATAGAGTAGGCATCGTTTGAACAGTCTCAGACAGTCAAAAGTTCCATCGACTTCCCTGCCATGTCTTTATAGTCACAAACAGTCAGATCATATTTCAAGCAAGCACTCTGACTATTCAAATTCAGTCAGAACCAGTGGGAAGTATTGGCTTCCCCATTTGTACTAACGTGCTCTCCTTAATAATTTGAACAACAGAGACTAGGGAAGTTCAAAGGTTGACTGCGGAATGGGGATGTATTTCTGTGTCCTTGGATTGGCTTTTAGTAGCGATCTAAGGATCGCCAAAGCACCATGGAAGGTCGAAGTTGGGCCACTCACCATCATGCATGCAACCCCATTAAAAGTTGTCAAGTACGGTATTTGCTCCTCGGTATCTTTTGCCTGACCCGAAGGGCCAGCCAACTGTATCTAATTCTACCTCCATGGCACTACCGACTGACCGACTGATGACTGACTGACGGACTGACCGACGGACCGACTGACCGACTGACTGACCGAACCACACATCCACCCACATACACAACCACCACCCACATACCCACCCACCGACTGACCCACCCACTGTAAGTTTAATCACTACTATTTTTTCTCCCCAACAGGAATGGCGGCAAAACACCCTTTTGGTCATCCTCACAGTTGTCATGGCGACATCTCACCTGTCACGTGTTTCTGGATACCCAAGTGGTCCACCTATTGATTCTTATCCCGAACTCTGTTCAAACATGCTGCCATCTGGTCATTCGGGGTCACCGAGTGAACCTCCATCACCATATTTCGTGTCCTTCAACGAAACAGAATATACGCCTGGGCAGCTTTTAGAAGGTAAACACAATCACAGCATATTTCATTGCATGTATTTTGTTTTGATTAATCTACTAAAAAGACAGTGCTGTGAAGGGTTATAGGGGTGTTCGGGCGAATTTAGCGGGTGTGACGTGGTTGGGGACTTACGTTGGCTAACTACCCCCACTTTCGTCTGATGATTTACAGCTCTCTTAAAGGCCTGGAATGCGCCCAAGTGGGCCACAAAACGCGTTTTAAACGAAATGATATTAAATGAAAAGAGCATTTAAAAGTAGAATATAAACGTCCACACAATCATCCTTTGCAAACTGGGCGTTTTGTATTATTCTTGCGAGAACAAATTTTGGGGGTCAAAAGGCTCCGAAAACTCGAGCTTTTCTCGGAAACGGTAAGACATTAGGCTTTTTTCCGTTCAACCAGACCTTTAAAATAATATAAGTCTTGGACTTTGAATTTATTGACTTCAACCCCCCCCCCCCCCCCCACGGAATTCTTGTTATCTCGTAGTCCGGGATAACAACCGCTATAAATGACAGATTTCGGAAATACATTGCAGTAGGACATAATAATTACAATTTAGAGGTAAACTTTTGATCACAACTCTAGAGAATTTTGTACCTGTAATTTGCGACCGAAACTCCGGTCTTCAGCAGGATGACTCGGATTTTGCATCCTTGACCTTACGGACATGTAATCCCAACACCGAGCCATAGACTCCTGGGAGTTTGTACCGTCTCCCGACTCCCGTTCCGGTTTAGAGAAGGTTTGTATTGGCTCTGATGTAGGCTGCCTCCTTCGCCCTCCTTTCAAAGTATCGTGCGTCTATGTCTAAATGTTTACTTAGGAAACGTCAACGTGATGGCCTGGTGATTCTATATAGATAGGTTGAGAAACCTCCGAAGTGGACGAACTGGGGCGACGGTGCTCCGAAACCTAGTCTTGAGGGACCTCTCGGTCTCTCCAATGTAGGATTCTGTACACTGGCCTTGCCTGATCTGTCCGTGACAAGGGATTTGGTAGATCACTCCAGTGTGGTCGTAGCTGTTTTATCCTTTGGTGATACGAGAAGTGAAGGAGGCAGCCTACACCAGAGCCTACAAACCTTCTCTATTGGTGATACGAGAAGTGAAGGAGGCAGCCTACACCAGAGCCTACAAACCTTCTCTAAACCGGGACGCGCGGTAAAAACTCACAGGGGGCGATGTTGGGATCCAGGTGTCCGTAAGGTCAAGGATATGCAACGTCCTTGATTGTTTACCTCTGAATATATTACTAACACAGATGAAATGTCACGCTCATACCATAATAATTATTTGCATATACGGTTAGGCGGATCGGAGCTAAAGGCAATTAATTTACATTTCTCGGATTGCCGCGAGAAACTATTCTTTGCGTTGACTGTATGGAAAGTGGTTTCGTTTCTTCCCCTCTTATTATTTTGCCTTGAGAACGACACAGCTAGTGTCCCACTAATAGTGAGGTACATTAGTAACAAAAATGCTAAGGATCGTTACACAGTGGACAAAAGCACCATTTTTTCACCAAAGCATCTCCATGGTATACCTTTTCGAAAAAAAGACGGACGCAAAAAATTGGATGATGGAAAGGGCATGTATGACGTTATTATGACGTCATCAGCTAATTATTACATGAAAAAATATAAATTAATAATAATCTTCAGAACTGCAAGCATCTCAACAACAAATTTGGTATCAAATTAAAGGGGACAACAAGATCTTTCATTTGAGTGGTATGTCATTGGGATGGAATATAGTTGAGGGTGATTTTGTGGGTCAAAAAAACCTTTTTGGTCAAAAGACCTGTTTTTTCCGGCTAAAATCATGGATTTTGGGTAGTCACTTTGACACCTGGTTTTAACATGCAAACAGTATGTGGTATTGTGAGATGTTGTTTTTAAGTCAGAGAGAAAGGCTCAAATTCTATGCCAAAAGATTTTTTGTAATTGATTATTAGTATCTTAAATGTTTAAACTTGTTCCAAAGATAAGCGGAGAAGTGAGGTACCAATAGTGATAAAATCGTGACACGGGTGGACAAAAGCACCATTTTCACACCAAAGCATCTCCATTATTTACCTTTTCGAAAACAAGGTAGGATACAAAAATTGGATGATGGGAAGGGCCATTTATTACATCATTATGACGTCATCGGCTAATTATTACACACTTATACATTAAAATGGAGATATTAGTTAGGAATAAGCCATGGATCGTTTTTTTTCATTTAATATACGTTTCTGAGATCAAGGAAAGCTGTGCAGTTACCAATTTTGTTCTTAGTTCTTTAAAAGATTTAAATACAAATAGTTTGATAAAATGAGGGATGTTTTCTAATTTAATGTATTATATTAAACATGTATGTACATGTACATTTGACTCTCGCTCCTATCCCCTGTTGTGATCAATGATTCGTTAAAATGCAATGTCTTACGTCGTGATTATCTCATAAATGTTACCTCAGGAATGATGCCACAAGGCATTATTTTCCACAAAAGTTTCTACTTTCCCTTCGGCTCCGTATTCTACATCAACTGGCAATGCATTTATTGCCCTAAACCCTTCAACATTAGCCAGGAATTGAGCATATACTTCTCTGGCGTTACAATTTAAACCTTTTTGTGGACAACGTAGTATTTCTGGTGTAGTTTGCATGCAGATAATGCAAGCAGTCCAATCCATGATGACTGTCCTGAAATACGATAGTAACTGTTCACATAAGCAATAAAAAGGTAGAATGTTCAAACCAATTATACGTTCGAATGTTGCAAAATAATACGTTTTGTGGAAGTTTGTAAACTTGCAAAGGTATATTTTACGCAAGATGAATTATATCTACAATTTCTACGAAGACTTCTGTTCATTTTTACCAAAATCTCTAATAATTAATAAACAAGACTACAGATGAAGCTTATTTAAAGATTATTTATTTGCACGATCTCAGTCGCAATCCAGCTTTGTGTAAACAAGAAAGGATAAACTACTCACACAGTGGCCCTTCAGAGATGCTCTGCCCGTGTCACACAGAAGATGATGTCAGATGGATAGATGGATGGAATAGGATAGACGGTCCATCAACGACAAGGATAGTGTATTTAATCGAGAAACACACTATCGAACCTTCGGACTATTGAATCTTATTTTCAAGCCCGCTGGAACAAAGTTTTGCCAGGGGGTGCTGGAATTTCTAAAGGACGGACAAAATTAATGCTAACGCGGAGCACAAAGCCCTTACGGCGTGGCTTAAAGGGCCCCTAAAAGCTTTGGAATATGGATGCTCTGTGGTGCAATATGAGGCGATTCCTGGCCACTTTCATATGACTTTTTTAGCAAAGGTTTTTTTGAGATTATAAAGAAAATTAATTTTACTTTTTTGTTTAGAATATACTGTTGCTCTTATGACGTTTCTACTGTACTGAAAAGTCGAAAACCCTGTATTTTTTATCTCCATTTTTTGTTCCATTTAATTCTGGACAAAGAATTGTATCATTATGCATGACATCGCACGTAAATATAATGGTTGCTAGGCTGCTTTCTTACATTTAGTAAATTCCGTCGTGTATGTTTTTTTCCCCCGAGCCCTTACGGTGTGAGGCCACAGGGCCAGGGGCCTGCTTTAAGGCCCCTGAAAATGTTGGATTCTGGATGCACTGTGATGAAATATACTGAAGTATATACTTAAACTTATAAAACCCGAAAGGGTGTTTTTTGGTTCAAGTTAAAACAAAATGGTTCCACTGGAAGCGGGTGAATTTCTGTTCATAAAAATATTCACATAGGCCTAAACGATGTAGCTCTTGATATATTTGCAGTGTTATTTGTTTGTTACAGGGAATGGCAAATATAAAAGACTAACAGACCAAATGCATCTTTATGTTTATGATCGGTAGGTGGCAAGTTTGCGGCTAGGCAAGGATTTATCGGTCTACTGAGTTTTTATGAGGAAAAACTTGCAAAGGGTAACACATGAATAGCTTTTTTATTAAAACGAAACTACACTGGAACTAGTTTCAATGGAAGCCCGTCCCACTCCTATTAGGTTGGGATGTGTGTGAACCTTAATATTTGTTAATGTTGAGTACAGAATGCTAGCAACGTCAATGAAATTTTTAAATGAAAAGAAAAACCTTCAGGGGAAAGGTATGAACTTTGCCCCTATTGAAAGATTGAATGAAAAAAATTGTGACAAGCATAATCAACTTTGCCACCATTGTCATGGAAAAGGTTATTTTTTTCAGGTCAAAGCTTCCATAATGGCGGAAATATCATAGACATGTCATGATTTTAGATACATTGAGAGAAATATCGATTCTGCACTGCCTGAAAATTTAGAAAATACCTCCTCCTGATATTTTACAGTGTTACTTTGTGCTAGACGTTCGAAGCGCCGCGCTAAGCCGCGGCAAAACTAGAAACGAACAAAACGAGGGAGATATTTTTAGAGCAAGCATAATGTATAGCGCAGCGGCGCAATTTCAACGTCGTAGAACACTGCTGGCTGGAACACATTTTTGCCCGGGAGTAGGGGGTGCTTAAGCATATTTCAGCACCCCAATCCAAAAAGTTGGGGGTGTTGCAGCACCCACAGCACCCCCCGTTCCCGCGGGCTTGTTATTTTCGTCTCGGACTATTGAACCTTCGGACTGATTAACCTTATTCTAAATTCGGACTATCGAACCTTCGGATAAATAAACCTTCAGACTGATGAACCTTCGGATTAATGAACCTTCGGACTTTTGCATCAAATGTTCGGATTAACGAACCTTATTTCATTTTCGGACTAACGAACCCCCCTTATGGAAATTTTGTGCATTTGAACTATCGAACCTTCGGACTAAAGAACCTTCGGACTATTGGACCTTCGGACTATCGAGCCCCCGTTTGTAATACATTGTTAAAAGACGTATCATCACCATTTCCGGCCACTCTGTTAATCTATTTCAGGTTACCACGTTCCTTTCTGTCTGGCTCCTAACCCATACCTCATTACCCGTAATATACA